GGCAAGGATGTGGCAAAACAGGGACCCTTATACACTGCTGGTGGGAATGCAAACTAGTACAACCACTATGGAAAGCAATATGGAGATTCCTTAAAAAATTAGAGTAGAACTACCAATGATTCCACTCCTGGGCATCTACCCAAAGGAACATAAGACAGGCTACAGTAGAGACACCTACACACCAATGTTTATTGAAGCGCTATTCACAATAGTCAAGCTCTGGAAACAACCCAGATGCCCTACGACTGATGAATGAAATTGTAGTATGTATACATAATGGAATATTACTCAGGCACAAGGCATAGTAACATGGGGTTTGAAGGTAAATGGATGTAATTGGAGGACATAACATCAGTCAGAATCAGAAACATAAAAGACATGTTTTCTCTCATACATGGAAGACATATACAAAGATAAATATATACACAAAAACAAGCATGATCATATACAAACTCAGTTGTAGAACATGTTTTTAACAGTGGAACAACTCTATGGAACTTGGGGAAGGAGATAAAGGAAAAGAGAATGATAGAGCATTAGTAATATTGCATTCCATAAGGTGTGAAGGTAGAGGATATAAGGATGTGTGTTGAAAGCTGTTGAAAAATGGGGGGTGGCAAGTAAAGGGGTAAGGGAAAATATTTGAAGGGATTGAACAGACCAAAATAAAGCACAGTGGGCATACATTGAGACACCCCTTTGAACATCAACTCAAATATTAATAATGATAACCAGAACTGTGAAATAGGCACAGTGGGGGGGGGGGTTCTGGTGGGAAGGAGGGAGCGTGAAGGAAGGAGATTAAGGTGATGGTATATGGTTGATGGACTTCATATACCTATATGAATCAGAACTAAAAAATCTCTTGCAATTGCTTTAGGTGGGGTGGAGAGGGTTCTGAAAGGGAGAGACAATGGAAGCAATGTAAATAATGTATAAGACTAATTGGAATTGTCACTATATCCTAATAAAAATTATAATAAAAAAGTTAAACTGATGTTATAATCAAATTTAATTATTTTAAAGAGTCCCTTTAATACAAATGTCCTTTTTTCTGATGATATGAAAGTAGGCTTGCAATTGTTAAATAATAAAAAAAAATCCCAGCAAAGATCTGAGTAGTTTTAACACTTGCTACTTCAACTACAGGTGTGGGTTTATATGTGTGAGAGAGGCTGAGTATGTAAGTATGCAAGTATATGTTCACACATAAGAACAACATAGTAAACAATCACAGAAAAAATGTCTTTAGAATTACAAGGAAAAACTTTCACTTAACCTTCAGGCTAGTAGTATAGTCTATTTATAAAAGCCAGGGAGATTTATAAAACCCTTCCCGCTGCCATACTGAAAAGCATTCTATAGAAGGTAAGCATATTTTGTAGAGAGGACACTGGGGAAAGTGAACTATATTAAATTTCAGCATTTGCAAGATGTGAAGCAACTAACAGGAACAGAAATATTTAAAGCTAAAGGAAAACTAGTCATCAGAATCTGTAATTTAAATTCTTAACAACTGAAGGCAAAAAGATAGAATTTTTAATATGATTCTAATACAAGAATACTGGGTTTTGCCTTTTTGTTTTTCATATAAGAGTTTAAAATGTATTCCTAAATGGCTAAATTTAACTGAGAAGAGGAAGACAAAAGGCTGGGATAAATTAAGGACAAAATGTACCCTTAAATACTGTTAACTTCCAAATTTTCTAGGGCTTCAGTCATTATTTAGTACCTCCTCCATACTAAACCTGCTTGGCCCTAGGATCCTTAAAGGTATCTTCAAGTTTCTCATCATGTAAGCTATTAAAATTACCCATCTCTGCTTTCTGATCCCCTTCTGCTAATCTCATTACTACTACATACCCATTTATTATAATGAGGATCACATTTATTTCTATCCTTTCTGTTTGCAGAAATCGGGAGACCCTTACTGCCCTTTGCCTAGACTACCTTCTTGCTTCTAGTCTTTGCTCTCTCTGAACTACCCAACATGCTGATCTCATGTATCTTTCTAAAGAATAACTCTGATTACATTCCTTTCTTTCTCAAAAGCTTTTATTTTCTGGTTCTATCTACTTTCTTTCCTTTTTTTCCCCCACTACCTAAACTACAGAAAAACTAGTTTTGGGTGTTTCTGCTATCTTATTCAATCATTAATTTGCTTGCTTGTGTTTTTCATAAATTGTAAGCTTAAAAAAGCATTAATATGAAAAGAAGAATTAATACAAGTAAAAATGTTCAAAGAAATTAAAAGCAGTTATACACAAATAAATGAAAGTAGATCAAAATTACCAATTGCATAGGACTACTTGAAATAATGAGAACAAACATTCGCATTCTGTATCAAATATGTATGTTAAAATTTTAGAGCTTTTCGTTTTTATGCACTTCTGACTAATAGCAGCAGTAGGTATTATATTGTACAGTTTCATACTGCACTTGACAGAACGACTTTTTATAGTATGGTAAACATTTTATCAATATGAAATTTTATCAAATGAGCTCAGACAATTTTTTTCAAGAGAAAGCAGTTCTGTAACCACATTCTTAAACAAAAGACACAACCACAGGGCTAGATTCACCCCTATAATTTCAGGACTGTACCGCATATAAAACCCAATGTATAGACAGGACGTAAAAGGGAAGTTTCCCTATAATTTTATCGGAAATACTTCAATACTATAACACCAATTTCAAATTCAATAATATTTTAAGGAATATGCTTAACTACTCCACAACTCAGTGATCATGTACAACTCAACTATGAGAAGGCATAATCCATAAAGTAAACCAAATGTATGAATGAACATATTTATACTTTTGCCCATACGATTCTGTGAGCATCTTAGAGTCTGAAAAAAACTGGTGGGCAAAGAAAACATGTTTGAAAATTCAGGACAAATATAATTGCTGGGATTGAGAGAGAAGAAAAGAAAGCTAACAACAACAAAAAGGTATTTCCTGTTTTATAGATTTTTCTCTTGGGCATAATTACAAAGTGGCATTCAAGTACAACCAATGAAGTCCCTACTTTTTTCTCACAAAATCCAAAGGCATCAGCAAAACCACATATGTCAGTAATAAAAATAAAAAGTCTTTGACTTTTTAAATGTTATCATACTGTCACAGTGGAATAAAATTAGCTTGAAAAATGATCTAAAGACACATGCTGCAGTTCATTATGTATAACAGCAACAGCAGCGGTTTCCCAGTGTTCATAAAGGCTGCTCCATTAAATCTACCTCCAGTCAATAATTAGGAGTCCGCAAATAAACCTGGGCAATTAAATCAATACTACCAGGCAATTATATTCCAGAGTCCAGGCTCAGTGGCACAAAAAGGCACTATATCAAACTAGAGTATTAAGCGGTCTGATGCCATTTTCAACAAGATTTTTTTATACTAACTGGACAGAATAAGCGTACATCTAGATAATGTAGAATGTATGGGTCAGAAAAAAACAGGTCTGGCATCAGAAGAGTTTCAGAGAAATTTAATAAAAACTTGTAAGTACTGATTTATTACTTTATAGTTATAGTTAACTTGAAATGTCTAATTAAAAGAAATGCAAGGTTATAGTTACAAGGTGAGCATTTTACAAATTTATTACAAAGTCTATTTTTTTGGGTCATTTTTAAGCTGAAAAAAAAAATCCTAAACTCCTTGATGTGCCAGCAGTGAGCTGGGTTCTGGCACACATGATTAAGAAATGACTTCTCTTCTGAAAAGTAAGTTGTTACTGTGAAGGCTTTGTCTAGCATCTGTACATCTGATCTTATTCAACTTTAAGAAAAAGATACCCCACCACCTTCCATTATTATTGAAGCGATTTTAGATGTTTCAAAACTATACAAAATAGATACTGAGAATTTGAATAGTTTATATATCATTTACTTATTCTTGACATTATCAAAAGCATAGGAACTGCTATTTGTTACCATAAATATAAAATAACTGCACTTCTTCAGCTTCTCTTTTTTAATCTTTCACACAGAAACATTTACAATGTCTTTCCAAAAATCACGGGATGGGTGTTGCTTTTTTTTTTCTTTCTGTTTTGACAAATATATTTTAGCTTTTAGTTATTCCAGATCAGTTTTGAAATAAACAATTAGGTTGAGCAAAAAGAGCTATAATGAAAAAGTTTTAGAATACATTACATGCTGTCAGTGATGTCAAAACAAAAACCGGCTATGACTAGAAAAGCAGGGATCTCACCTGCCAATAAACTGCCCTTGATCACTTACAAGAGGGGCGCATCCCAGCAGACTATATGTGTATTAAAAAAATACTTGAAAGGGAAGAAAAAGTATCACACAGGTCACAGCAGCAGTCTCAATAGACCCCTCAGGGATTTCAACTCGTCTTGGCCTTGTCATCCTCTATGCAGGTCTCCACTCGGCCCAGAAAATGTCGATAGGAAAATGTTTGAGGGGCCTCTGGTGGAAACTTTTTCATTCTTTCTGCATTGACAGGATGCCAAATCAATATTTACTTCCCACTAACAAGCTGCTCGAGGTCTCAGTAGAAAATATTGTAGAGAATGCGGGAAGACACAGTAATAAACAGCTGTCTGGCTGTGAGGAAAACATGAATTGACTGGAAACAGGTCCAAAGTAAAAGGTCACTGAAACCCATGAACTCCTCAGGTGTCCATATCAACAACTAACTTTAAAGACACATAATAAAGAATCTCTTTTCCTAAGAGGTCTGAGAAAATGGATCCTTTTCAGTCTAGCAAGCATAGAGGTGGACTCAATAATTTAATTAATGCATTTGCTAAGACCCATGTTGGCTCTTTCCCAAGGCATTTGTTTCATTTGTTAAGTGCAAAAGTACAAATAGAGGGTTAACTTTCTGGTCTACGTTTTGGAATACTTCTTTACCTAACAGAAGTAAATAATGGGTAGTGTTTGCAAAAAGTTAGGAATCTAGTAAAAAAGTAAGGGTTGGAGTTTTTATTTCAAAGTTTTAATATATGAAGCAGAAAAATAAAATACCTGTCCTTCAAGAAGTTTCTGAATGTACAACAGCCATTCCTTGTCATTTTCAGCATCTAGCTTTGTCTTTTCAATTTCCTAAAGAAAGTGAACACACCACTGGTGTTAACTGCATTTACATGAACGTGGTCACACTATCAGGTATTGAATCAATCTAAAGAGGTATCAGTGGAATCATTTTCAACAGAGTGGCCTATCCCCTCAAGGTAGGCACATTTAAATCCATCCTCTCTGATATTTAATTTATAAATATTTACATATATATGTAATATAAATGCATGTTCCTATATTTCACAATAAATTAGGAATATTTTATTTCCACTTTTGCCATGGAGCTCAAGATAGGGCCTGACATGTGGGTGAAAAAGATGATGAATCTGCATAAAAGAATCATTAACAAGTGATCCTCAAGAGATAACAAAAAACTTACACTCAAAAATCTTGGATGAAAATAGGTAAGTAAAGGGTAATATAAACAGAATCAAACATGCCATGATTGGTATGTTTATTGCTTATTGATTTAAAATATTCAATAGTGTACAGATAGGCAAGTGGCACTTCAAATTAATGTCTCTGTTTTTAAGTCATCAATTATCAAAATAAAATATTTCGGAAATTATAATGTATTCACGTATGCATTTGATGGTTTACTTAAAATCATATTTCTACATAAAATAGACTTTTCAAAACAGAATCATTTGAGAAAACTAGCACTTGTTGAAATTTACTGTATGCCAGGCATCATACTAAGCACTTCACATAGGATCTCACAGTTTTCTACGTGAATTTATTAGTTTGATGAAGTTTAAAAAACATAAGTCAGGTCCTCTGGGGTCTGCTTAGACAAGACATACAACTCTAGATCTCTAAAAGATGCAGGGATCAGTGTAAATAACCTCTGATTAAACCTGATAAATATATGAAGGTGCAGAACTCCTCTCAGAACAGTGTGTTTGTACTTGAGTCCTTTTTCTTCCAGGAGGGCCTTCATTTAGGGCAGTATAGAATGCAGTATCACAGTATGTGTGCTCTGTTTCAGACTGCATGTGCCCAGGAGTAGTGTTGCCATTTCTTCACAGAAAGGTGTGTTCCAGTCTTTGGGACGATAACAAGAGACCCTTTTCTAGGTCACATACTTAAAGGGATTTTTTTCTTATTTGCTCATTCAAAGGCACTGCTTTTTCCTAATTTGTCAGCCAAGAGAGGGCTGACATCTTTTTAACACCAAATAAAGGCAGTGATTCTGTGTTCTAGAATATGTACCCATTTTTATATATGTAAGTACATGTATGGTACAGATATCCACATGTTAAAATTCCTAGGCAATAGTAGAGGCCTCAATTTCATTTTTTTGTTAAGGTTTTCATTATTAACAAATTTTAATTAAATGTAACAAAGCATACTTAACAACCTTGCTAGAGATACTATCATCTCCCATGTATCTTGTGTTTGATATTACGTTAGATAACGCTCTCTTACTTCAAAGTGCAGAGTATCCCATTTGCCTATAGGATGAAAATAATACCTGTGGAATTCCTTTGATCTATTTGCAAAGACCTCCTTGTAGTTTAGAAGACTTCACAAATTGTACACTGCTCTACTCCAACAGATCTTTAAGAAGCTGATGGGTGTGTGTGTGTGGAGGATGGTCTCATACAAACATCTAAGTCCAGCACTATATTTTTCCATTGAGCACATATTTACTGGGATGTTCTTAGGGCTATTATTTCCTTAATCTTTCACAGCAATAAAAAATCTAATATTCATGTTGAGTTCAGAGGCAAAGTATAGGATCAAGCAACTTCCACAGATTTTAAAGGATACTGTGCATAGTTGAGATTCTGCTATTATGTGGTAGTAACCATGTCAAAATGCACTGCTGCCAAGGAAGTGCTGAAGTGCTACTGAAGACCTGTACCTGAATACATATCCTTCACTCAGACTGGAGTACTTTTGCAACTTAAACTATTCCTGTATTTTCTAATAATATATTTCCATGAAATACACTGATCAGTGATAATTTTGGATTAGCCAGGAAAGTTAATTTTTAAATCTCACATAGGAGATTTTTGTCAAATTAATGTGACTCAGCTTAACTAAATCCACTCAAATACTCAATACTTAATTAAGTAACTTTCAGGTGTGGTAGTACACACCTGTAATCCCAGTTATGTGGACGCAGAGGTAGGAATATTAGTCTGAGATTGACTGGGGCAAAGACAAACTAAAACAAACAGCAAAAAGGGGCTGGGGGTATGACTCAAGTGCTTGCCTATTGAGTTTGAGGCTGTGAGTACCACCAAAAAAAAAAAAAAAAAAGTGGCTTCCACTGGGAATGGTGGCGTGCAACTCTAGTCTCAGATAGTTGAGAGACCAAGCAGGAAAATGAACTTGAGTACAGGAGTTTGAGACCAGCCTGGGCCACATAGTGAGATCCTGTTTCAATAAAAAAAAAAAAAATACTGGAAAACATAGCGAGACCCTGTTTCAACAACAACAAAAAAATCAAAATCATACTGGCTTACAAGATATACAATATGATTAACTAAGCTAAAGAAAATGGAGACACAAGAAAGGATAACCAACATGAGTAATAAGCAATTCAAAAGATTATTGTACTGACATTTCTATATTACGCAGTTAAACTTCCCTAAAGAGTCTTTTAGTTGTTTAATATTCAATGTATGTCTTTCATAGAGACTTTAACAATCTTGGTTTCATGAATATAATATTAAAAATGAACTTCTAAGAATGATGAAATAAAAATATGTACCTAGATGTGTAACAAGCCTTTATTAAGAGATACTTAAATGATCTTACTACTTCATCTTCTGTGTCCAGTATCTCCTCAAGGTCTGACCGTGAAATGTTCAGGATAGAAGCTGCCAAGGTCTGGGCTTTATGAGTTGAGGTTTTACAAGCAGCCCTGTTTGTCTGCATTTTCTTAAGTTCTCTGATTTTTCGTCTTATCACATGGACATCATTTTGTAACTCTTTGACCAAAGCCTGCAATATATTGGAAAGAACATGGACTCATATGGAAGTCATAATGAAGACAAAGCAGTCATAACATAAACATGTGATGATACTAACCAATCATTTGTATCAGGTTTATTTTGATTTTATTTATTTTTGAGCATAATGAATTGCTATTTAGTTATTGTCATTATGCAATAAAAGCTCCCTTAACTGATCTGTGACTAACCAAAGCTCTTCCAGTTCTCTTTTAGATATACCAACCGCTATCTTGGTTGGAGAATGCTTGCAGCTGGCAGGCTACTTGTAATCATGACAAAGCACAACCGCTCCCCCTCGCTGACCTCACCCAAGAGTCAGTTTTCATTATCCCTAAACATTATTATGAGTTCTAACAGACTATTACATAACTTACTTAATTAGTACATAAGAGTATGAAATATTACTGCAGAAAATGTTTCTGAGATTTTACTAAAATTGGCTTAGAAATGTGTCAAGGACATGAGAAAGAAGTTGAGTAAAAGTGCAATTGAAATGTGTATGGGCAAGATGACAATAATGGATTGAGATCATTATACAAAAGCTAGTATTGCCTCAAGAGTCTTCAGGTTTCCCTCCTGAAAAATCAGTAAGGGCTAGCACATACCACTTCTACAAGTGCCTAAGAAAAAGACACTTTTTACTCTGTATGGACAGAGTTCTGTGCCTCAATGCATGGCTTTGTAAGCACAAAGGTTAGATGTTTGGGTTATTTTCAATATTTTGGTGGCTTAAGTAATGTTGCAATAAATAATTGTGCTTAAGTATCAATTTTCCAGCTCTAGGATACAAAACTATAAGTGAAACTGCTGTACAAAAGGGTGTGTATGGCCACATTTTTGATAGCTGTTATTTAATTGTATCCCCAGTCTTTCTCCAAGATACTAACTTTGTGGAGATAACTCCATAAAGAATGTGAAAGTATCTGTCTTTACATCACTAGTAAAACATCAAATCTAGTATTTCAGTTAGAGTTCATTTGGTTTATTTTTTTCACTTCTCTTATTACAAATGAAGTTGAGAATTAGCCTTAAGATAATTTTATTTTTCATCATTTTTTGTTTTCCTTAGTGATTTACAAGAGTTTTTTTCTATATATTAGGGAAATTATATTTGTCTATTGTAGACACCTCAATTTTTCATAATTTCTTTTTTGAGATATAGTGTTTTATACCAAAGAAAAATGTTAAATTTTTATGTACTTGAATTGATTAATCTTTTCTTTCTCACTTTTAAATTTAGTGGGATCACTTAAAAAGCATTCTTCACAATGAGGTATATATAAGACACTTCCAAACCATGATTTTTGGACTGGAAGTATGGCTCAAGTGGTAGAGCATCTACTTTGCAATCATGAAGACCTGAGTTCAAACTCTAGTCCCCTGCCCCAACAAAACAACATGATTTTTTTCTGCTTTTAGTTTTTTTCAGTCTTCCATGAAAGCCCATCTTTCCCACAATTGTTTCATGTATTTAACTAAAAGCTTATCCATGTTATTACTTTTATCTTTTTTCCCCAAAAATTCCTGTATTAATTTAATTCTGCAAATTTTAATTCACTTTTATTTTTATCTTTAGATTCTCGTTATTTTTCATGTTAATTGTTTCCTTTGTTCTTATTTATTAATTTAAATATACAAGGCTACATAAGTTTTTGAGCACCATTTTAACTGTATTTTATGGGTTCTGATAATTCTAGACATGCTATTTTTTAGGAATATTCAGCCATTTGTTCAGATTTCCTCTTCAAACTACAAACCATTTTTTAAAAAATTTTAGGTGGTAGTGATCTCTGTTCTCTGGTTTTGTAATTATAGTTTCATTGCATTGTCATTACCATTAATGAATACTATCTATAAATATATTTGTAGATATAAATATTAATGTATGATTGGTACTATCAATAGAAAGTTACCTATACTTTTTCTAGCTTTCAGAATTAATTGAGATTTTATTTTTTGTGTGTCTCAAGTTAGAATCCTGGAAAAGGATTCTGAAATGAAGATCTGCATGCATGCATTTTAAAGGGAAGTGAGCTGGGCAGAAAGAGAAATTGAAGTGCACTTCAGGGTTTTATTTAGTTAGTTTTTGTTCTTAGTCTTAAGTCCAGGATCTTTATTAGAACATATCCAGGGCATGACATATTAGATCAATTTTCCTTGGTTCATATTATGTTCTTTGAAGTCTTTTTATTTCTGAAAGTTATTTTGGGTGCTAGCCTTCAATATTTGTTCTATTCCATTATTTTGCTTTGTTCTTGGAAGACTCCAGTAATACATATGTTGAATCTTTGCAATGTGCTCCATAAATTTTTTTCCCCCAATACGTTTTTTTAAATAAGGCATAGAATGAAATAAAGCATACAGATTTTAAGTGTTTAGTTTAATAAGTTTTGACAGTTGTATGTTTATGTGTAACCACCAGCTTCTCAAGATATAGAAAATCTTTGTATTTCAGAAATTTTCTTAAAGCCCTTTCTTAGTTCGTCCCACATTAGTGACTGTTCTGATTATATAATCTTAATCTTGCCTTTTCTAGACTGTTATATAAATCAAGTAATATATGATGCATTCCTTCATACCTGATTTAGTTAATGTGCTGTTTTTAAGGTCCATTGATATTGTTTGTTGCATGATTCCATGAGAGAATGCTGGTTTTATCCCTTTGTAATAAATTGAGAATCTGCCTGTGGACATTTTCCCCTAGTATTTTATCATGGAAAATTTCACACATGCAGAAAAGTTGAAAGAAATGTTTAGTACACAAATACCCACCACCTATGCACTATAATTAACTTGTCCTATACTTTATTGTGTATCTATTCATCCTTCAATACCTCTTACTTTGTGGATACATTTCAAAGAAAGTTGCAGATGTCTGTACGGTTTACCTCGCAACACAGCAGCATACATATCGTTAAATATAAGTGAATATTTACAGCCCTCTTTACTATTTTTGAACAAAATTTATGTATGTCTTAATTGTATAGTTTTATGAGCTTTTACAAATGAAACCTAGGTTAACACACATCCAGATCAAAGTAAAGGACATTTCCATCACTCCAAAAATGCATCTCTTCTCAGTCATTTCCCAAGATTCCTGGGATTTTTATTTGCATCTCCCTAATGATTTTTTTTTTTGTGGTACTGAGGTTTGAACTCAGGACCTATACCTTGAGCCACTCCACCAGCCCCTTTTTTTTCTTGTGAAAGTTTTTTTTGAGATAGGGGCTCATGAACTATTTGCCCAGGCTGGCTTTGAACTGCAATCCTCCTGATCTCTGCCTCCTGAATAGCTAGGATTACAGGCATGAGCCACCAATGCCTGGCCTCCCTGATGATTTATGATGGAGCACTGTTTTACATATCTGTTGGCCATTTGACATGTATTCTTTGGAAAAGTTTCTACTCAAGACCTTTGCTTCATTTTTATTTGGACTATTTGCTGTTTTGCTGTTGAATTGTGAGTTCCTTATCAATTTTGGACATTAATCCTTATCAGATATAAGGCTTGCAAATATTGTCTCACATTTCATAGTTTCCTTTCAATTTTGTGGCTTCCTTTGCTGTGCAGAAGCCTTTTAGTCCCATTTTTTTCTCCTTTTGTTGCTTGTGCTTTTGGTGCCATATCCAAACAAACAAATCACCAAGACCAATGCCAAGGAATTTTTCCCTATGATTTGAGAAGTTTTAAGGTTTCAGGTCTGATATTAATTCTTTAATATACCTCTATTGGATTTTTCTGAGTGAAGACAGTGGTCCAATTTCATTCTGCTGCATGTGGATATCCAGTTTTCCTAACACCACTAATTGAAGAGACAAAACTTTCCTGACTGTGTATTCTTGGTGCCTTTGTCAAATATACCCATGGCTTTATTTCTGACCTCTCTATTCTGACCGTTTCTCTGCCAGCACCATGCAGTTTGATTTCAAACCACAATGTGTAATGTCTATGTTACGTGCTGGTGTCGAAGTGTTGCAGGCCGGAGTCGAGGGTCCTTACCTTCACAGGCCAGGGAACTGGCTCATGAGGCAGTTGAATGATGAGCCAATGCCAGTATGTAAAGTAGAATTTATTAAAGAGAAAGGAAAGACTACAGCTAGAGAAGAGTAGTGGATCCCAGAAGCCAGTGGCTCACTACTCAGGTGAAGGCTGGGGCTTTTATGGATGTCCCAGCTCGGGGTTAGGTGGGTTTTTGTCATTGGCCATGGATTCGAGGGCTTTCTCAGGTGAACTGGTTTGGTTTGCACCTTTATTGGGGGAAGGGAACAATCTTGAGAGCATTTTGCTCATCAGCCCTGTGGCAGATCTATCAGACTCTGTTTATCTGTCCTTTAGGATGCAGGAACGCAGGCCTCCATCTCCTCAGGATGCAGGAATGATATGGCTCTCCATGGGGGATGGGATACTCACTCACCTGCCTTAGCTCTCCAGACCCAATACCTCTAACTTTACTCTTCTTGCCCAGCACTGCTGTGTCTACTCAGGGTTTTTTGTTGTTCCACATGACTTTTATCCATTTTTTTCTATTTGAAAAATTTATAAGAATTTTTTTATAGCAATTGCACTGAATCTACAGAGCATGTTTACTACTAGGACTTAATAATAATTCTTCTAGTCCGTGAACATAGCTATTTTCCCATTTATTTACATCTTCAATTTCTTTCATCAATGACTTTATGCTTTTCAGTAAACAGACTTATTGAGTTTCTTTTAAATTTTACCGCAAAGTTTTCTTTTTTGGTGTTGTTTTGTTGTTATTATTAATGGGATTGGTTTTATTTATTTTTCAGAGGATTTGTTGTTGGTATACAAATTCACAAGTCATTTTTGTAGTTAATTTTTTAATCTGTAATCTCTACTGCATTCATTTATTCTAATGGTTTTTGTGGTGGAGTCTTTAGAGTTTTCTATATATATACAATAATGTCATCTGAAAACAGACAATTTTGCGTCTTCATGATTTACATGTTTTCTTTCTTTCCTTGCTT